TCCCGCATAAATGCAAAAAAACATCTAAAATAGTACAGTAGAAGCCGTGTTCTTCGTAATCCTTAAAGAACAGAACCGTTTCCCTACTGGTGGGTCCTATTTATTATGACATGTAAGGAAATCAAAAGATTGTGGTACAATAATCTTCAAGTTGTGGTAAGACCACAACAGCTTTGCTCTTTCTTGACTGACGAGTTCCACCAGTGGCCAAGTGGTCTGTTCCCCGAACACTGGGAGTTCGGTCATGGGTTCGCTCGCGCCTGGCCTGGACGGGCTAGCCAAATTGAGTTTTTCGGATTTTCTCTACGTCTATAACTCCTGAACAAGAGCCAATTACCCTTAAAAATCCTCTCGGAAGGCATTCCTCCTAGGTAGATCGCCCAAGTGTTGTATTGCCGTAACTTAACTATACAAACATGACTGATGATAGTGGAAAATAAAGTCGAAGTGTTACTGCGAGGTTTAAATCTACTATAAGAGAAAACTCTATCCATAAAGTGTTATCTTATGGTATAGTGTGTTTCCTTAAGGGAACAAAATGCTCTTAAGAAAAAGCACAAAAATATTCGAATAATCTACATAACACTTATAATATAATCGAGATGGGTTGATAATAATAATAAGCGCAGAGCCCAAACGTTAGGAGTTGAAATTTGGTACATACTAAGAAGGGATTTTTCGAAATTTCCCCCGGCGGGAGAGGAACAGGACCTGTGTACACACTAAGCGTTTTTAAACAAAGCGTTTTTATTTATACTATTTTAGATGCAGGTTTTTGCGTTTTTGATTGCGTTTTAATAGGGTACGTCAAGAGAATGTACACTAAGAAGAAATTTTTCGAAAAATTTTCCCCCCACAGGGGAAGTGTTATACATTTATAATAGATACATTTTGAGCCACAACAACGCGTGGCGGGGTCTGCTAGTATACAATAAAACACTAAATATCTTTGAGAATTTTTAGAAGGGTCTAAAAATATGTTCGATTTCCCGCATAAATGCAAAAAAACATCTAAAATAGTACAGTAGAAGCCGTGTTCTTCGTAATCCTTAAGGAACAGAACCGTTTCCCTACTGGTGGGTCCTATTTATTATAACGCGTTAGCTCGGCGTTCGACGAGCGTTTAGCGGAGCGTGCGCACTGGCTCGGTTTGGAAATGGATGTGGAAGTGATTGCTTGTGTGTGGCTCCTCTATTGTCGCTATAAAAGACGACGGCAGAGGCAAAGAGAATTTTGGGTGCACCCAATATTACGAGATAGACTGACCCATGGAATGTTTGTGACGTTGTATCCAAAACTACGACAATATGAACCCAAGTTTTTTAATTATTTTAGAATGTCTATAAAATCATTTGACGACTTACTCCATATTATAAAAGTAGATATTTCCCAAAAGCGCACTATCGAATATACAGCAAAATGGCGGCGTAAATCTAGAAGCGCCGGAAAAACGCGCGATCGCATGTACGGTAACATAGCAGCACATATATCTCAAAGCGCTCGGCTAACGCCAGCAAAACGCGCGTTTTAACAAAAATCTATAAACGCGCGTTGAAAAACGCCTAGTGTGTACAGGCTCTAAGGCTTACCGTGAAGAACCCGGCTTCTATTATACTATTTTAGATGCGGTTTTTTGCGCTTGTGATTGCGTTTTAATAGGGTATGCCATTAGAATGCACATTAAGAAGGGATTTTTCGAAATTACCACCTCGGGGGAGAGAGGGTTAACACTGGGAGTGCGGTCGTGGATTGGCAGCCTGGCCAGGAGGGCTGGCCACGTGCATTTTCCGGGTTTTATCCACGTCCGTAACACTCTAATAGGACCAGTTACCCTTAAAAAGACATCCCGGAAAGTGCCCAAGTGTTGCGTTGCAATAACTTAATGAAACAAACCAAACATAATAAATAGGTTCAATACGTTCTGTGTAAGTTGAAGTTGTCATTAGCTAGCTTCCTTCTAATGTCATTTTTATGTACACTGTACAGTAAAACCTCGTTAAGACCAACTGCGTTAAACCGAAGCTGTCTACAGCTTCCTGTCACACAATATAAGGTTTTTTTTCCCTTATAATACGGTCTCTTTAAGTGTAAATTGTCGGTACTTTTAACTCGAACCTATTTTTCCGCTCGCCCTCCACTCAGATAGATTTGATATTCACTTTCTCCTATATTCCGGGTGAATGTAGACGATTAACATAAATAAACACCACAGCACTATGACGACAATCTTTTTCTGATACAATATGATATGGGCGGTGTCAAATAAAACGCATTTTTAACACACACTGTACAGGCCTATATACCGAGGTTGAAAAATGGCACAATCGTAGAACGTAAGGTTCTCTCATACAAAAGAAATGATTGTCATGGGTTGTTTACGTGACGTCATTCGAATTACGGTCAAAATATTAATGATTAATAAATATCCTTACAAGGATACGTATTTCTGTAAAATATATGTACTGTACTGTAAACCCCGCGGGCTTTATATGTACAGTACCGGATATTAGGGGTAGGGCGAAGAAAGAAGATACAAATACAATTCTAAGACGGCCGTCTACCCCGTACAAATAAAGCCCGCGTAGGGCGAAGAAAGAAGATACAAATACGGGTCTAAGACGGCCGTCTACCCCGTACAAATAAAGCCCACGTAGGGCGAAGAAAGAAGATACAAATACGGGTCTAAGACGGCCGTCTACCCCGTACAGATAAACCCCAGGCAATAAAAGTACCGCAAAGTACTGTTATTCCCCGGTGTTTATTTGAATAGCAGGGTGTAATTGAGGAAATATGGTATTTATAAATTATGTTTTATTGAGTCGCTTACTAAGAGGTATGGAGGAGTACATGCCAGGAGTTGCAATTTTGCACAGAGTATTAGGTGCCCAAATCATGCGCGCATAAAAATTCAGACTTGTAGATACTCGGGGGATCGAGAATCGAGTCAAAATAAAATACAAAATGGCGATATATTTCTACAAACAGGCACTAGTGCCAGATTTGCCCATGCATTGTTCGTCAGGAAGTTCGAAATGCGAATGTTGCGAAATCGAGTTTTGAGAAACGAATCTTCGAAAAACCCATTTACCTGTCTCGTGTTATTCCGGATATATCTCTGGTCACGACCTGCTGACCTTGACCGGTTGACCCGAGATATCTCGTTTCAGCATCCGAACGTTTTGGTGCTAGTCATTATAATTTTATATTAAAAGTAACTTCCGAAATATAATTTCGGACGATACAATAGCCACGATTTTTTTTCAAAAACGGGAAATTTTCGTTAGTAATGTACAAAAATTCCACCCGGGGCGATACGCAACGGAGAGAAATTTCGACATTGGATGGGTTAATTTTACGGAAAATGTCTCGTGGACAACGTCATGGTTGTGGCTGGCGAAGTTTGAACGATTGTACTGAAAACCAGAGATAACAAAGAAGATTGGAGAATGAGAACGAGATCCACCATGAGCGGCGAAGTGATCCTGCTTACTGTAGCGAAAAACAGGCCCGTTACAACGCAACCCGTCGTAACCACGCAGGCAACAAAGCCCGCCGTAATCTACGCCAGGACCCCGAGTACCTGTGGTTTGTTTTCCTCATTGAAGAGTGCTCATTTTTCTCTTTTCCTTAGAAAACGGTGCGCAGTCGAGCCCGGAGTCTCCGAGACATAGTCTTGTCCCAAAAATGGCTTTGGCATTTTACTTGTTTTTAAATTCTGTTTGAAAATTAATATGAATATTTGGCAATAAAATCCTAAAAGTTAAAATGGTTACAGCAATACTTGTGTGCTTTTAGTACAAATTAATGTAATATTTATATAATACAGTAGAGCCTCGAAAACTCGGCCTAATGTGGACCAAAGGGTGGCCGAGTTTGTGAAAATGCCGGGTTATCAGGAATGGGGTTAAAAAAAAATAAGTATGAGTGTTTCCTCAGAAAATACTGTACAGTAATACCCCGAACTTACGCGATAGGTGGGACCGAGCGGTAACCGCGTAAGTCGAATTCGCGTAAGTCGGGGTATAATTTTCCCTATAAATACATACAAATAATGTTTAATTGGGGCCGGAAACTAAAGAAAACAATAATTTAGAAAAAAAAATGTTTAATAAAATCTTAGATAATACATATGTATAACAAATTAGGCCTATATTATTTTACAATTTTTCACATTTACTTGATTATTACGCCATAATTTTAACATTGTTTCCATCTCAGCGATAATACTGTGACGTTTACGAATGATG